GGAGAGGCCAGTCGCTAAGGGGTGAGGTGGCTGAGTCGATACAGCGCTCTCCGTCCCGGGGTACTCCCACTTCACCCAGTTGAAAATGGATACCCAACTTTACATGTTGGGTAAGTGAAGGCAGTCAAATGCAATAACGGTTACACCCCTTCTTTGCCCCGCACTCGTTTTAGCGTAAGGTGGCGCCTGTTACCCGCTGTCGTCTGTTTTGTTTAAATCTTGGAATCTTCAGAATAATAATTTCGCTTTTATTTTATCAAAGTGGAACGCAATTTTGTGAAATAGTTACAGGAATTGAATGATAATTGCTAAAAACAGTTTTTCATAAGAATACTGGAAGAACAAATTGTGTAGTTGAATTTTCGTATATTTTCAGGAATAATATAACGCTCATTCTCACCACGTTTATGTCATCTCTTTACTGACCGTGCAAACAAATATTTCCGTATCCACCTCCTAGATGGACGATCAATGACTGGACGGTCGTTCACGTCCCTGTTACATACTGTTGGCAAGTACTGGGCATGGACTGGCTGCAGAATGTATCTGCACCTATGCCAGTGTTGGTCGTCTGGTCTTGAATGAGTTGACATTCGGTGCCATCACAACACTCTGGCAGATTGTTCCAAGAGTTTACAATTCTCACTCCAAAAAAGTTTGGCTCAGACAGTTTTCTGAACTTCTGGCTTCTTCAGCCTTCGGGTGTGATCCCTGTTTTTTCATTAGTATTAAAAGAAATTTCATTGTAATTCATACTCTAAAGGTAATGTACCTTTTTAGAACCAGGGAATAAAATATAAAACATTAAATATATCCGGTTTATGCCCATTCGTTACTTTTATGTAGGTTTCACAGAGCATCTATCAATATATTTTTAGTAATAGTTTATACAGTTACTTTAGTCCACGTAAACTTTTCGTACAGTATTTTTCTATTATGTTCATGAGTTCCTCTTATTTGAGGCTCAAAAAATGTAGCTCAATAAACAGTAATAGTTTGCCCTCATTTTATAGACTTTTTCTTGGAAAGATGGCTGCTCTGCCATCAGGTAGTGCCACAATCTCCCTGTGTTCAACTCGTTAAAAATAATGGTTTTAAGGGAAAGTTATACTTCTTATTTCATATTCCTTGACTGAAATTATACATCACCTTGTCCCAGGTCAATCAACTCCATAACCCCCCACTTCACATCACCACGGATGGAAAGACTCTTAAAAATCTGTCAGTGAAACAAACATCGATGAGGGATCCAGTATAGGATCAAATGTCCATGTGCTGTCTTTGGAGGACTTGTATTCCGTGTCTTCCACGATCAGCGACATCAGGTCATACGCCACGCTTCTTGTCTACAACACTGTTGTCGCTCCTATATAGCATCAAGGTGATGACCATCAATTGTGATGGACTGACCACTAATGGATGACAGGTGACCCACTTCCGAAACAGATCCTCTTTATTCCTACCCCTTCCTGGCCAAAGAACTCTTGGAGTGCAGATGATATGTTTCAGAGACATCCCCAAAGCCAAGACAAAGATCTGGGAGGAACAGGAAAGGAAGAAATGAAAGACATAGGCCAGGTCTTCCGAGGCGAGTCAGCACCTCCATGAGGCAGAGAAGGAAGGAGAAGGAATGCCATCGAGAACTAACCGAACCAAGTCTCCCGAACTTGAAGCTCACGTAATCGAACTCTTGAGTCATCTGAGGACATATCAACCTTAACCGACCTGTAGGACACATTATCCACGAACCCTTGGCATTGTTGACGATGGTGTGTGTGTGTGTGTGTGTGTGTGTTTTATACTTACTTATGATGCTGCAGTGAGAGATAGAATGAGGAAATAGAGAGTAAAAGAGAAAAGGGAAAGGTAGATAGACTTATAAAAGATGGATAGATTAACAGAGATAAAAATAAATAAATTTTTGGAGACATTCTTAGAGAAAGCTGAAATTCATACGTAAATAGAGAAAACGATATAAAAGGAAGGGAGAGAGGAACAAGGGGAATTAGTTGTCTAGAGAACAAGAATTTTTTTAGATTAACAAATTCATCGACAAAGCTTGTAGTACAGTTTGCCTATTCTGAGTAATTCAGTCAGGTCTTGACACTGAGGGTGGTATCACTTCTCACTGCCACGCAGGACAGAGGTGCATACACAAAGAATTACATCATATTCATTAGCAGTATATATAGGTCAGAGTCATGTGGGTGATGTCACTGTTCACTGCCATGCAGGACAGTGGAGATAGATCTATATATCAAAATAGGAGAGAGAGAGAGAGAGGGGGGGGGGAAGGCATAATGAGGTGATAGGCAAGTAATGTTATAATGAACCAATAACGCTCACTACCACCATTGGTAAAGTAAGTCAAGTGTCGTTAAAGTAAATCAAGCATAGTGAAAGTGAGTCAAGCGTCGGTATAGTGAGTCAAGTGTCGGTAGAGTAAGTCAAGTGTAGTGCTTCAAACTTCGGTAAAGTGAGTCAAGTGTCGGTAAAGTGAGTCAAGTGTCGTGTAAGTGAGTCAACGTCGGTAGTGAGTCAAGTTTAGTGAAAGTGAGTCAACGTCGGTAGTGAGTCAAGTTTAGTGAAAGTGAGTCAAACATCGTTAAAGTAAATCATGAGACATTAAAATGACTCAAGTGTCGTTAAAGTGAGTCAAAACCTAAGAAGAAGAGGAGGAAGTAGGAAGATCAAGTTCACGCTGAAGTAAACTGTTCCCTTGGGAGCCATCCTAGCCTCCAAGCCCTCTCACACCCTCTCACACCCTCCCTCCACGCCCTCTCACACCCTCCCTCCACGCCCTCTCACACACTCCCTCCACACCCTCTCTCCATATCTCACACCCTCCCTCCACACCTTCCCTTCATATCCTTTCACACCCTCTGATACCCTCCCTCCACGCCCTCGCACACCCTCTCACGCCCTCCCTTCACACCCTCTCGCATCCTTCCTGCACACCCTCTCTCAGTCAACCCTACCCCCCACCATCTCTCTTTTACACCCCTCTCCTCACCAAGCCGTAGGGGGAGGGATGAAGCCGATGGGAGGAGCCGAAGGTGAGCCCTCTGCAAATACCCCCCACGAAAGGGCCGATATAAAGAATCTTTGCCAGGGCGTTGACTGACTATGACCTGTGATTGAGGACGTTATTATTGCACACCACACCATGGAGGCGGGGGGGGCGTGATGGGCTTTCCACGATCAGCGGTGACTACATTAATTTACAGAAACAGCGTCACTAGTTCGATATTTGCCCTACCTTGGTGACGGTTCACAAATAGGGTTTGCATCCCCTCGGGCGTGGCTTTATATTTTTATGTTATTCGTTCATCTCAGACTTCAGTTATCAATATCCTGTGGGTTTTTTTAGACAGTTTTTACTGCGACAGATGTTAAAAATGAATTCTTAAATCCTTTCAATGTCCAGTTTCCAAAAGCGAAATGGTTTAACCCCAAAACTAACAAGAATTTTATAATTTTCCTCTACAGTTCCTCGCATTTTCCTCCAAGTCTCACCTCAGGTCCTTGAGTATGTTGATTCTTGTTCTCGACTCAAAAATTTAGGATTCTTAGTACATAATAGGTCATTGATCCTCTCGTCGTGTTGTGATCCTCTTATGGTGTTTGTGATCCTCTTGTGGTGTTTTTGTGATCCTCTTATGGTGTTTGTGATCCTCTCGTGGTGTTGTTGTGATCCTCTTATGGTGTTTGTGATCCTCTCGTGGTGTGTTTGTGATCCTCTTATGGTGTTTGTGATCCTCTCGTGGTGTTTTTGTGATCCTCTTATGATGTTTGTGATCCTCTCGTGGTGTTGTTGTGATCCTCTTATGGTGTTGTGATCCTCTCGTGGTGTTTTTGTGATCCTCTTATGGTGTTGTGATCCTCTCATGGTGTTTTTGTGATCCTCTTATGATGTTTGTGATCCTCTCGTGGTGGTGTTGTGATCCTCTTATGGTGTTGTGATCCTCTCGTGGTGGTGTTGTGATCCTCTTATGGTGTTTGTGATCCTCTCGTGGTGGTGTTGTGATCCTCTTATGGTGTTTGTGATCCTCTCGTGGTGGTGTTGTGATCCTCTTATGGTGTTGTGATCCTCTCGTTGTGATCCTCTTATGGTGTTGTGATCCTCTCCTCTGTGATCCTCTCGTGGTGGTGTTGTGATCCTCTTATGGTGTTGTGATCCTCTCGTGGTGGTGTTGTGATCCTCTTATGGTGTTTGTGATCCTCTCGTGGTGGTGTTGTGATCCTCTTGTGGTGATGTGATCCTCTTGTGGTGATGTGGTATACTGGACACGGGGGGGGGGAAGTTCCACAAGGCTAGTTGAGTCTTTTTCCATCGCTTGCTGCGTTTGTTGCTACCATAGTGTGTGTGATACTTTGTGTGTTCATAGTGTTTCAATGTTTATATAATCTCTATGCATGTTTCCTAAAGATGCTACACACACACACACACACACACACACACACACACACACACACACACACACATACACTAAAATGCGCTTACTTGTATATAAATTAAATCACATTGTGTTCGTTATTCAAAATCACTGTATTCCTCTAACTGCTAATGATTACTCACACATCACTATAAAATACAAAGTTACTGTAGTGCACATTATATCTTTATTTTTAACAATGTCACCAACAAATTTTTTTGTCCCCTCTTTATACTTTTCCTTGTTTCCATTTTCTATTTCTTGTTGTCTTTCGTTTCATTGTTTATTACTTAAAACAATCGCTGTGAGCGTTCAAAGTTGAAGTAGTACCTCTTATAACAGACAAATTAAAATCATTTCTCCATCCCGAAGTATTTTTTTTACAAAGAACATGTCCCTAATGCAAATTTATTTTTATAAATTGCATATTTACTCGTATCACTTAATTGCAAATAGCAAAGACTAAAGCAAACCAAAAAAGGTCTAAATTCTAATGTATATTTTCTTTACGTATTTATCCTTATTTCCTTATGTCTTGGTAATAACTCAACTTGGTTCGTGCAGGATTCGACACAGAGATCAGTGACCTGGATGGCAAGCCGTATACCACCCTGCTGTATGGTAACGGCCCCGGGTATGCTCACACTACGCCTACGGGACGTCAGGACCTTACAGGATTCAATACCCAGGACATTAACTTCGTGCAGCAAGCGGCAGTACCCAGGAAGTAAGAGATGGTGGTAGTGATAGTGGTAGTGGTAGTGATGGTGGTTTTGGTAGTAATGGTGTTGGTGGTGGTGGTTGTAGTAATAGTGGTTTTCGATGGTGCGAGGGGGGAATCAAGTAGTTGAAGGTGGATCAAGTGGATGAAGGTAATTGATGGTGAATGTAGTGGATAAGGGTTAAAGATTGATTTAATACCTAAATAAACATACCAATATATTTATAAGACTCAAGGAACTTTAATTTTAGTCTTCGAGTGTAAAAATGTCAGAAAATGTTCGGATGAGGAGGCGGTAACTGACTGCCTGACTGGCCCACTACTAATTAACACTGATGAGTCGCTCCCCTGTACTGGAAAAGGACCAAAATGTTTAGTTCATTAACCTAGACCGAGACACATGATAAACTGAGCACACAGATGAACCCAAGTTTTATGTTTCAGAGAGAGTAAAAAGAAAGAGGGAAAGAGAGATAAAGAGAGACAAAGAGAGAGAGATAAAGAGAGAGATAGATCCACTTCCCTAGTATGGCAAAGTTTTGTAAGTCGAGATGTATCAAACGGTAATCGAGTTCTTTGAAGGATAAAATAAATTCATTAGTTTATTGATAAGATTAATTCTACCCACGAATAAACTAAATGAGTCGACCAATTTTTTATGGAATTTGGCAAGAGGGTTTTCTACTGTCCAAATAAAGTCAGATATAATTTTGGACAACGTACGTCAAAGGTTAAAAATATTGGTCGTGGTGATTCATACTTGTTCAGTGGGTCATGTTCCGGGTTCACAGATAGTATGGTGATGATTTTGGGGGGCCACAGATACACCCTAAGCGTGTTCCTGACCCACTTTCACATCACCATTTTTAAAGGTCTAAATTTCCCTGCTACAGGTGCACAGAAAATGGTGCCCCGTCCTCTGTCTCCACGTACATTTGCTGAGACACATTTTGTCCCTTTCCTCAGGTACGAGACGCACGGCGGGGAGGACGTTCCAGTGTACGCCCAGGGCCCTGGGGCTCATCTATTCTCCGGTACGGTGGAACAGACGTACATCGCCCACGCTATCGCTCACGCCGCCTGCATCGCCGAAGACAACACCCATTGTGAGAAGCCCCCTAGCGACGATGCCTGTGCCGCCGCCCCTGGGCCAGCCCCCGCTCCCACCGCCCGTCGCCCACTGGGTCAAGTCACGCCCACCGTAGAGGACCAGAAACAACACACTAGAGACCCGTGGGCGTGGAATGCGGGAACGAGGGCGTGGGCGTGGACCAGCTACCATGCCCTGAGCTTATTGATGCTGCCCGTGGTGTTGGTGTTTCGCTGAGCCATGCAAGGGCGCCGTAGAGACTCAGAAGCGGTTCCCTTCCCCTCCTCCCCCCACAAGGAGGAGCAGAGTGCCAGAGTCAAGACTGTACGCCCACACCCACGCCCGCTGACCCTTAACAAGGCAGCGACTCAGTTTCACACACGTTGTTGAATATTATAGGTAATAGGTTTGACCCGAGCTTTACATGGACCACACCGGGCAGTGGTCCCCTAGTGTACAGTGACTCAGTGTGCTGCAGCCCAAAGCCTCCCCTACCACAGTGTATGTCATGTGAGGTGATGACACGTCACCTCCCTTATACCACAGTGTGCGTGTCTTTTGAGGTGAGGAAACGTCACCCCCCCCTCCCCCGTCTACCATAGTGTGTGTCTTTTTAGGTGAGGACACGTCACCTCCCTTAATCCACAGTAAGTGTCTTTTTAGGTGAGGACACGTCACCTCCCTTATACCACAGTGTGTGTCGTGTGAAGTGAAGACACATCACTTGTGTCACGCCAGTTATATACAATTACGTGGTAAAAGTCAGGCGGGGAATAAGTTGCGGCGACGGAAACTTACGTGTGTGTGTGTGTGTGTGTGAATACGTGCGTGCGTGCAATATGTGTGTGTGTGTGTGCGTATGTGTACGGAGACGATGAACACTGGTTTCCTGTTCTTTAAGGCTATATAACATTTTCTTGTGTTCGTTTCTACCTCTGTGGCCTGGGAGAAGCAAAACTTGTGGAACAGCGTTTGACAATCAGTGGAAAGAGAAGAGACGGGGAGGAGAGAGGGGAAGGAAAAAAGGAGGAGGAGGAGGAAGGAGGAAAAAGAGGATGGAGAAGAAAAGAAAGAAATAGTCAGAGGGAAGGGGAAGAAGTACCAGCCTGGCTACCTCAACCCTGGAGGAACTTTCCTTTGTCAAACAACTACAAGAACCAGAAGGAGACAATGCAGGTGTCCAGGGTGGTCCAGCCCCTTCCTCACCACACCACCTCCTCACACATAGTATTCAATGGTATTATTTTAATTTAGAATATTTACTTACTGGACTTGTGTGTAAGATGTGCACGTTGTGTTTTACTTTAGTCAATTAAGTTATTACTCCAATATGGGTCATACTTACTCTGGAACTTTTATGATTAAGAATGTATTCATGAATAAACATTGGATGCCTTCAATGTATATATATATATTTTTTTTGTGCAATGATACAAATTCTCGTCATTATTGTACTTACTCCGTTTATTGCAACGACAACAGCATCAGCAGCAGCAGGTAGCCTCCTCTGACATCATGACCATCATCTTAAGAACCTTTGTATTTTTTTATGTTCAATCACAGTGGCTCGGAGCCTTGTCATTTTCTTAATGTATCTCTCACTCGTTCATTATTTCACCATTTAATTTTCTGTTCCCCAAAACAAATATTTAACCCATTGTCTATTAGTCTAATTTTATACCTCGGATATTTCTGGGTCTTGTAAAGTTTGTCATTAACTACTGTATGACTGTTAACTGATTGCTGTTAAGTCTATCATTTACTTGTAATTGACTGCTGTAAAGTATCTCAGTACTGGTAACAGACTGCTGCAAAGTCTATCAGTACTGGTAACCTACTGCTGTTACGCCTATCATTTACTGGTAGCTGAATGCTGTAAAGTCTATCAGTACTGATAAATGACTGCTGTTAAGTCTATCATTTACTGGTAACCGACTGCTGTTAAGTCTATCATTTACTGGTAACCGACTGCTGTTAAGTTTATCATTAACTGGTATTTGCTGTTACGATAAAGCCTCATTAACTATATACAGTTAAAAATACAGATAGTAACCCTTAATGTTCAACCACTTGGGAGACGTGCATGCAGGTACCATTACTAACATACTTCATTGTGTTTACAGCACTACCATATCATCTATGTATAGAGAATAATGATAATGATTAATAATAATAATAATAATAATAATAATAATAATAATAATAACATATTTCTATATAAAACTCTTACCTTGGAAACATTATGAGAGTAGCGCAGAGTTTAGTCATTTATGAAGAACTGCTTTTCACTTTTAAGACATATGTAGTGATTGTGTACAGTTGCTACGGTGTACATGACCTCATAAACTCGAGCTGCATGTGTGTGTGTGTGTGTGTGTGTACAGCTGAACATGCACCATGATACAGTGGGTGTCATTGGCTGTGTCATAATCCAGTGTGTCACAAGCTGTTCACACCCACCATAATACAGTGTGTGTCATAAGCTGTACATACCCACCATAATACAGTGTGTGTCATAAGCTGTACATACCCACCATAATACAGTGTGTGTCATAAGCTGTACATACCCACCATAATACAGTGTGTGTCACAAGCTGTACATACCCACCATAGTACGGTGTGTGTCATAAGCTGTACACACCCACCATAATACAGTGTGTGTCATAAGCTGTACACACCCACCATAATACAGTGTGTGTCATAAGCTGTACACACCCACCATAATACAGTGTGTCACAAGCTGTACACACTCACCATAATGCAGTGTGAGTCAGAAGTTGTTCACCCACCATAATACAGTGTGTCACAAGTTCTTCACACCCACCATAATACAGTGTGAGTCAGAAGTTGTTCACCCACCATAATACAGTGTGTCACAAGTTCTTCACACCCACCATAATACAGTGTGAGTCAGAAGTTGTTCACCCACCATAATAGTGTGTCACAAGCTGTGCACATCCATCATAATACAGTGTGTGTCACAAGCTGTACACACCCACCATAATACAGTGTGAGTCAGAAGTTGTTCACCCACCATAATACAGTGTGTCATAAGTTCTTCACACCCACCATAATACAGTGTGTACACAAGTTCTTCACACCCACCATAATACAGTGTGAGTCAGAAGTTGTTCACCCACCATAATACAGTGTGTCACAAGTTCTTCAAACCCACCATAATACAGTGTGTGTCACAAGCTGTACCACTGTAGGCGCTACAAAGAAAATCGCTGCATTCTTCAAGAGTCCATAGTACAAGTTTGTTTTTGAACCCGTAACCCTCCCTCCACCCTCAAAGTTTGATTAAACAGTCTTCATTATCCAACATTTCTTTTTTTTCTGCCAAATAAGAACGTCATTTTTATGTCTGAAATTCTAGAAAACAGACATTTTTCTGTGACGTTTATGTCGTGTCTAAAAATATTGAAAGTAGACATGGCATGCACTTAACAATTCCATTTTAGTGTAACGAGATATAAATGATTAAAAGTGTAAAAAATATATATATAAAAGACAAGCAGACAAACACTTTTATAATAGTTTGGGATGCTGGATAATGAGGATTTCGTTATGTGTCCCCCTGACGGTAATGACAGTATGGGTGTCTATATTATAAAACTGGTGTGCTGTCTCGCCCACCTCTCATCCCAGGCTTGTCTGTTCAAGTGTAAAGAAACTCACTGTCTATGTAGCGCCTTTTTCTCTATTCTTTGTTTGCCCCGTGTGGTCAGTATCTTAGCATTAGTTATATATTATATTGGGGGTAGGTTCTCTAAGCTTGGATTTAGGTCGTGAGGCCAGATCATTGCTTGGGTATATGTTTCTTCCCCCACCTCAAGTAAGTTATTTTTTTCTTGTTTTAAAATTTCATATGATTTAGATGTTCAAGAAATATTTATTTTATAAGTGGGTTGGTAATTTGAAGAAAACCAAACAAAAATAAGTAGTTGGTTTGTAGAAACAAAATCATGGCCTTAATTGTTTGCAAGATGATAATTGGTGTCATAATGTATTACTGCACTTTAACAACTAAGGTCTATAAGCGCGTATTTCTAGATTAATAAATAAACTAATAGTCGACAGGTATAAATTGATAAATACATCTACCGACTGATGACGATTTGAAAACCATCGAATTTGTGATTAACCAAACTGTTTTCCTCACATGAAATTTTTATAACTGTATTAAAAAATATTTGCTGTAATGAATTAATTATCCAGAAATATACACTATTATGAGTTGTGGATAATTTTTTAGATGTATACAGCAATAACAAATAAATGCGTCGCCCATCTTTGTTGGATACGAAGTGGTTCTTACCATGTAACTCATCTCATGACAATATGAGAGACGTTGATGCTCGCTTAATGATTTTTTTTTTAACTTCATGAAATTAAATCCTGGAGGAAAAATACAATCAGTTATTGTATTTTATAATCAGGGAGATGAAATTATTTTATTTTGTGAGGATAGGGATAAAAGTATTGTATTTTTTTAATGAATCTATAGAGGGGATGGTAAGGAGAGCTGGTCTGGCCGTCGTAGTGTTTCTGTCTGGTTGTCATTAACGAAAAGTCTGAGGTTTATAAATTAATATGGTTCAGGTAAATTAATCTGGCATAATAATTACTGAACAGTACTAATCTCGTGCCTAATAATAATAATATTAATAGCAATATAAATAATATTGACTTTTACATCAATACTGACATATGACTCCGTATTCGGTCATAATAAAGTCTTCGTCTTTACGTTCTCTTTGCATTGACAAATTAGAACATCATTACCAAAACAAACAAAAAATAATAAAAAAATAAAAATAGAAACACTATGGCTTACGACAATTAGTTTTTATTGTAATGAACCTTAGACATGAGTGTTTTGATTTGAAGGTAATTATTTACTTATTGGATGGAGTGACTGGCTACATCCTGTGTCTTGTTCAGGGAAGGAAGCGAGTGTGTTAGCCTTGTGGAGGGGGACACTTACATAGTTCTGTCGTCCCTCATGACTCGGATGACCCCACAGGAGGTATTTAATAGCCTGTTTCAGTATGACTTATTGTACATAAATATTACTGTATGCGTTGTATTTATTTTAGAAACGGCTCTATTTTTCCCTATAGCAGATATATTTTGTTAACATGAATTAGCTTGTTTCAAGATCAGCTTTATATCATTGAAGCTAAAACAGCAATTGAGTTCCAAAGTACAAACACTAGAATCCATTGTTTGTTTGTTTGTTTGTTTATTTGATTGTTTCTTTGTTTTTCACTTTTAGTTGATCAGACATCACAATTCTACCGAATTTAGTCCACAATTGTAACCTTACCACGTCTCACTCTGTAGCTAACATTATCCAATAAACCAGATACTGTGGTCTTCTATGTTATTTCCCTCCACACATTCTTAAAGTATTTATTTACAAGTGAGAAAACAACAGCAACAGGAAACAAAATCGACATACCCAAACTCTCCAGCCTGAAAAGATATGTCTTATTCCAATGGTTCACTGGTCCGAAAGTATAAATAAACCTAATTTTTCAACTGTGAACCAAATGAATCACTGAAGCACGTGAATAAGTCCACCAAGGGGATGAGTTAAGTAAATCTGTTGTCATATATCTGTAACAACCTTATGTGTATCCACAAAATTTAACCCCCAGAACACAGAGCTGGACAAAAATGATATTGCTAGTGCTAGCTTTGTGTGGGTTAATCTTCTTGAGTTACTCTTTAGGTGTTACCAAATACTTAGTCATCGCAGAAAAAAAATCCTGGGGGAAAAAGACAAACAGAAACACCTAAGTAAATCTACCTTATTTATATATATTTACAAATAAAAGGTACAAGACACTTCCTACTTATTGGGAAATCAACCACTGACCCCCACCTAACATTCCCTAGGAAGGGATTCACAAACCTTAGACCACATTGTTTGGCCAAGAGGGAGAAAAAGAGAGAGAATGGCAGACCTCTACCCTCAACCAAGCCAAGGACAAGACAGACAGAAAAGGAGAGACAGAAACATCTCTCCAGTAAGGCTGGTATAAGACAGAGGGAACACCTGAGTGTGTGTGCAGTGATGCTGACCCATGCTGGCTCAGTAAGCTCCGCCCATCAGCGCCTTCGCAGATGAACATCATTTAATCCACAAAGCTTACATACACTACAACACAAGGTTTGAGGCAAGGTTATAATGGGGGAAGGTCAAGAATATTCATAGGAACATGGTGAGGGGATAATATAATCTAAAATAGATGTTATAATAATGAGTGCTCATGTTCTGACCTCACTAGGGGAAAGGTCACGGCAGCTTAGCTCCGCTACCGGGGATAATTACCAGATATGGCTAGTGCTACTTGTAAACAGGGTTATGCCCATCTGTGGACCGAGTTACGGAATACCAAGGAAAAAAACCTGAAATTAGAGCAAGAAATCTTTAAATTAAAGGAAGAGATAGCAAAGATGAAGGAAGAAAAGAGACAGGGAGAGCGGGTGAATGAAGAATGGAAGGTTGTGAGGAGAGGGACTACCAAGCTGGTGGTTAAGAAACACACCAAGGATACCAAAACGACAACAGCAGCTAAGTGTACCAACTCGTTCAGTCCCTTGGTAGACGAAATGGACGTTAGTACAGTCAGGGACAGGGCTGACAGGAAGGTATAAAAACTTTAATTGTTGGTGACTCACAGGTAAGGTACTTGGACAGGGCCTTTTGTGGTAAAAATAAAAATAGGATGAGGGTGTGTTTGCCAGGGGCTCGGGTGGGGGATATAGTTGACAGGGTGGATAATATCTTGTCTGGTAATGGGAACAAACCCATTATCTGCCTCAGTGCAGGAGGCAAAGATATTGGCCAGTGTAGGAGTGAAGAGCTTCTTGATAAGTTCAAGACAGCTATAGATCGTATTAGGACTAAGGTAGGGACCCCTATCATATGTGGTGTCCTGCCTAGAAAGAGACCTAGCAATGAATGGTTGTCAAGGGCAGTTGGTGTCAACGGCCGTCTTCACGGATATTGCAAGTCAATATCAGTCCCATTCATTGACAACTGGGACAACTTCTACGGCAGAAGGAACCTTTATGCTAGGGATGGGGTATACCTGTCTCGGAGGGGGTGACAACCATGGCTGGGTCTCTAGAGGGGGCAGTTCAAAAGATATCGAAGTCTGTAAAATGCTAGGAGAACATGAGGGCACGGGGGTGGAGGAGACTGCAATGGGAGCAGGTAAACAAAGTGAAAGACTACAGGGAAATAGTGTTAGGAATGACGACAAAACTAAAGCAGACAGGGAGTTTAAACCTAAACGCGGTAGAGGGAGACTCAGAACACGACTAACTTAAATGTCTACTACGCGAACAGTAGAAGCATGAAAAACAAAATGGATGATATTAGGGCCTTCGTATGTACAGAAAAAATCGACATAATAGCATTCACTGAAATGTGGATCAACCTAGACTCACGTGAGTTACCGGTCGAACACCAAATTGCGGGTTACAAATTGTTCCATACCAATAGGCAGACTAGGAAAGGAGGCGGAGTAGCAATCTATGTCAGGGATAATCTGAAGTGTGAAATAAATAAGGAAATAAAAACTGAGCAGAATACAGAAACAATTTGGATAGAATTAATCGACGGTAGGGAAAAATTAATCACAGGAGTAATATATAGACCTCCCAATCTTGATAGAGTCAATGAGAGACGTATCTGGGATGAAATGCACAGGGCTTCCATACACAACAAAGTCTGTATAGTAGGCGACTTTAACCTTGGCCAAATAGATTGGACTGACGTTACGGGTAACTCAGAATCAGAGGATTTTCTCGAAACGATCCAGGACTGTTTCCTAAGTCAACATATAAACGAACCCACCCGGGGTAGTAATATACTAGATTTAGTTCTGTGGAACAGAGAAAACATCATCAGCAATGTCGAGGTAGGGAACGAACTTGCAAACAGAGATCACAAAGAAATTAGATTCCAGTTAGATTTTCAGGGCAGACGTAATAAAAATTCCACTAAAGTACCAGATTTCAGAAGGGCAAACTTTGACAGTTTAAAGAGGCAGCTAAG